CTCATCAATGCCAGCTCTGTTAAAAACATCTTTAAGATTCTTTATCTAAACACTGGGGAATGTGGCATCATTTTTCAGGCATTAATTCCAGTATTCAAGTTTGCTGCTCTCAAGTTTTCTAATGAAGGTGCCAAGTGTCTGGAGAGAAAGTTCAAACTTGAAAGTGAAGTTTGTTTTCTTCAGACGAATCCTTCAGTATTTCAGGGGTGAATGGACCACAGGTAATGGCTAAAGAACTGTAAATGCATACTTGCCTACCTCACTATGGAGAATTTACACTTAAAGGAATTTAAGAGGAAGTTAATCCTCATTAGAGGAAAAAACCTTTGAGATTAATATTCTCTGACAAACACCTCTCTAGCTTTTAAAAGCACACAAACTACAAAAAAGCTTAAGGAAACCTTTCCATATCTCTCAAGTAAGCCCTCTTCCACCAGATGGAAGGTGCTCCATCCCTAACTCGTTTGTTTTTTAGCTCCTTATGGTAACAAAGGCTTGTTTCCCAGACCTTTTCAAATTACTTATGACTGTTTCAGAGCAGGATAAAGCAACCAGAACATAATAGCCAGCATCAAGAACTGGATATAACCTTCTTAATGTTCTTATACTTAAAAATTAACTGCAAGATCATATACAAAATACAGTTGCAGTAAATATACTAGGATTAACAGGCTTAGTTAACAGTGGCTTTGCAGTAATATTGGTGCAGCTATAGAACTCCATAGTAACTGGACCAATGTAAAGGTTTCAGGCCAAACACGTAAACCACTTAAACTCACTTGAAGAAAAATTCTCACATGAAGAGAATTTAAAGAGAAGCTTTGATGAAGGGGAGGGCTAGAAGTTAACTCCTATCAAAAGCTGACAATCACTTTGATTTGTACTGTAAGAACAGACTTTTTGCCTACAGTTTTAGGCAGAACAATAGTATGGACAGCTGTGTCAAATCCATCTTTGCCAATAACCAGCTGCTCATATGTTAAGCTATAGAACTCAAAAGACAACACAAAACAGTAACTAGAAGTACAAAGAAATTCAGGCTCTGTTGATACATATCCTGGATCCAGAAAGGCACAGACTCCATTTTGGTTTGTTTTGGACTCTCAAGCCTGAAAGCCTGACTTCAAAGCCAGGCACAAGGGTGCCTGAGCTAAACTCAATGTGACAACGCCAGGACGATCCCTTGTAGCACAGCTGTGCCATCCTTCTCCAGTACTGACCTCCCTTTAGCAGGGACCCATATGGCAACAGGGAAGCTTTCACTGAAGGGCAGAGGCTCAAGGCAACAGATCAGCTTCCGCCTCTGGCTGGCCGAGTTTCTTGCAGTAGCTCTCTACCCCTTTTTCCTAGAATATCCTGTATTTGCGAGGGAAGAGGCACTGCCTTAATGGCTGACCTACTTTACCACCAGCTCCTAAGCCTTTCATGCTGTTAGATGAGAGCAGCACCCTCTATGTCCTGTGCACAACCAATGTCACTGCATTAAGTGTGGAAGCCTGCACTTCCAAGCATCCCAGCAAAAATGGCTAAAGGCTCATCCAGGAAAGAACGTTTTCCACTAAAACCACTTTTAAGACAACTGACATGAACAGATTAAACTGTATTTTAACATCTTCACCTGGAAATTGACCCTAAATGGGAAAAAGCACTCAATGCTTTACTGTTAATGCAAGTGCATTAGATTACATGATATATATATATATATATATATATATATATATACACACACACACAATTACACATGTATAGACGTATTTAAAGGACATGACATTTTGAAGAAGCAATCTATCTTTCATCATAAGAGATTTACATTCAGTTTGTGGCCCAGTCCTTGGAAAAAATTCTGAAAGAAGACAGCTAAGTGTGCACTTTCACGGGGTAAAACAAGGCAGCAGAGCAAGCTCCCCATATAGAAAGCCAGCAACCCTGCTTGCCCCAGTGCTATTAATCCAATGTCAGCTTTGGCTTGCACATCCTGCAAATCAATTCAAGCCTCTGAAAAGGCTAGGAAAGTATCCCAGCAAGGAGGATAGCTTTCCAGTGAAACAAGAAAGAGGGCCTACAAGCCATAAAGATGGGTGTTCCTGCTCCATTCCCTGGCAACCATGAACAGGCCTTGGACCATTGCAATAGATCAGCCAGGAGGCTGACCCAGCCAAAAAGTAATCCCAAAGAAAGGTTATCCTTTTGGCTACATCAACTCACCACCCAGCTGCGCAAGTGCAAGTTCTTGTGTTAGGAACAAGCTCACAAACAGATGATCCAGGCCAGGATCAGTACAGCAGAGGGAAGCAGTGGAAGTGCTCTATTGCTGCAGAACTTCACTGATGTAAAAGGCAAGCCTCTCCCTTCAACTCCTTTGAAAAGTGAGGTTTGGACTTTTAGGAGTGACAGGCTACATCAGGCTTCCGTGGACCAAGAGGCTGAGATGTATCCCAGCTCACAGCTTGCCCTTTTTTTTGTGTCTGAAAAAAAAATCTTTCCTCCACAGCCACAGGAAGAGTTTAAATAAACAGTTCTTCCTAAAAACCTTCAACTTCAGTTAACCAGATACTCTCCCTGGCCAGTTGACTCACAGCTTGACTTCCTCTCTCCTGCACCTTTTCCCCTTTATTCACAACTACTCCTCCTCATCCAGCCTCAACATCTCATGCCAAGACGGCTATTTCAGAGCCTATTAAAAAAGAGTTACTAATACAGCAGTAGGAATCAGTCCCACTAAGAAGTGTTACTACACCATATTACTTTCAATGCTCTTAGCGCTCCGTGTTCCTCATACTGCAGCTTGCCCTGGCATTAATTCTCCATTGACTGTTTCCCATCTTTAAGAAAAGCACTGAAGCCAATTCCTTTTAATATAGAGGCTAGCTAGAGCTTGTTTCAAATTTATGCTGGCATGCTGTCATCTCCCTAGGATAAATATATTGCTTCACAGCCCAAGAACAGGGAAAGCTCTGCTCCAGGAAAGCTTCCTTATGCAGCAGGCTCACTGCATCAGCCTTTCAGTCAGACACGTCTGCTTTTCACTGCATCACATGCTCTTCTATTTGTTGCTGTTACTACTTAGTAGAGATGCCTTTAGCTGTAGTCTTCCTAATTCCTGCACATGCACGCACAGATTGCCACCAACCTGCTCACTCACCACCCATTTTCCAGACAGTGGTCCAGATTAAAAATCTCACTAAACTAATACAACATAGTTCTTAAGCATGGTTCATTTTTCATAATCTTCACACAGGCTGCTTTATTAACACCTCCAAGATAGCCTCTTAACCTGGATGGGCTGTAGCTAGACCAGGGCAAAACTGCAGACTAAGTTCAATTGAGCTGCTTGTTTGAATTACATGAGCATAACCAGTACCACCCTCCTTCTACCTGTACTGTCATACATTAAGCAGCTCACCCCAGAGGCAGGAGCCTCTTACATGAAAGCCATAGGAAAACTGGAAGAGGAAGAATAAAGTAAGCCTAGTGTGAAGCAGGCAGGCACAAAAGCATTCATGCTATAGAAGCAGAGTGGTACTCAATGATATTCTGTTAGTTTCTACTCCAAAAGACAGTCCCTTCTTAGAGGATTTAACCACATCAGTTAGATGATTAAGAGCTCTGGAGGTCAAAGGCAGTAAATAAATTACTAACAGACAAGCCCTTGTCTATGACAAGCTGGAGAAATTCAGAACACCAGTGAGGTATAATCCCTTCCTTCTTGCTCATTTTGGGGACACATGAAATGCTTCAGTATGCATGCTGCTGAAGAGCCTTATGATCCATTTAAAACAAATATTAGAGGAAGCTGCGGTTTGCAGGATTCTGTTTTAAGCGAGTTCTAAATTAGCCATCCAGGTTCAGAAATTTGGTGTTTGCTGTTCTGACGTAACAAGTTAAACACCACAAGCTAAAGGGAGACAGCAACAACAGTTTACTATCTAGACTGCCACAACACTTACTTCATTCCACAGGCACAAAGGCTTAAGGACAGAAGTTAGCTGCCTCTGTTTCACTGAACAAGCTACTTCCTCATATACTAGAAATAAACAGTGGTAGGTGGACAACAGATTTGGTTTGGGTTTTGTGTTATTTGTACCATGCATGTACCAGGAAAGCAAACCCAACGCAGAAAGCAAGTTTACTTCCTATTCATGGCATTCTACCAATATTTACAAAAAAAAAAAAAGCCTTAGTTATATCACATTGAAGTGCTGAGTTTCAGAATTTCCAGCTTGAATCTACGGCATGAGGCTAACAAAGCTAGAAAGCAGTAGTGTGGAGTAAAACTTCCCACTAAGCTTTCTCAATCTTTATATAGGCAAAACTACTGCCAAGATTGTAATAGTTACTACGATGTATTACTCAGCAAAAGTAACTATCTGCATATCCCTGCAAGTTAGTTCTCTATGTAAATTTCTTATGTAGTTTGAAGCACTTCCTTCCAGTCCTTTGCATTATAAAACATAGCTGAGGTACAATGCAATAATAGGCAATTACAGTATGCATCTGTGTGTGTGCATGGAGTAATCTTTGCACAGAGGTAGCTCCAGATCCTCTGCAAAGGCAGGTTAGAAGTTTCACACTAATCCAACAGCCAATTAAGTATTTTCTATTTGGTAGCAACACTGAAGAGGTAACCAGAGCCACAGGTAGTTAACATGTTAGATGCTGTACAGGCATGAAAGACAGCTGAAAAGTCTCAGTCATAAAAACAAAGCTATACTTAGCGCTACTATACAAGATCAGAACTTTCATCAAAATGCTTTACACAGCCATGTTTGTACAGAGCTTCATATTGTGATTTACATGACAGGATTATGCTGCAAGAATGCAAAACTCATAACAGCACTTTATTTTCAGCTCCACAGCTGCTTCTGTCAGAGATCTGAGAGAACAGAAGGGGTGAGAAGACTGACAGCAGAAGCAGAGAGCGTTTTGCCTTGACACCTTGCCCTGTAACAGACAAGCGGGGGGGGGGGGGGGGGAGAGTATTCAAGTTGGGAGCATCTTACTTGAATAGCTTGTCGTCCCTGCTGAGCATCTGCCAGGAGCTGAATGGTGAGAGTCCTGGAATCCTGTAGGGCATCTTGGAGGTAGATAAAGCTGTGACCCACATGTCGTCCCATGGTACATTCCCGACATATGGGGACAGAACAGGTATCACAGTAGAAATGCAGTACCTATAAGGGAAAAACAAACAAACAAACATGAACTATATTACTATCTAATGAAATATTAAGGAGAAAACAGAGTCAGGGTGTAAGAAAGGCCAAGAGATCAACTATAAAAGGAGACAGAGGTAATAGGCAAAGACTTTGGATTTCTCTCTCTACAGAGTAAGAGCTATCCTCCCCAGTAATCTCCAGATCATACTCTAACAGTTAGATGGAAGTGTCATTGTTTTCTTTGCAACACAATACTAGGAAGAGTGTCCACATCAGCTCCTCTTAGGAGCGGAAGCCATCTGCCAACACTTGCAGATTGGAGATGGCATCTATAGCAAGTTTCAGGTGAAGACTTTTCCTGCATACACAACCATCACATTCTCTTAAGTGGGTCATTTAACAACCAACACACTGGAGAATTGTAGATCCAGCACACCACCCCATAGAGGGGGAAAGGGGGGGGGGGGGGGAAGACGACAAATTGTGCATGCCAAAACCCATCCTTTATGTTTTCAAAACATGCAAATATCTTATTTGTTCAGGGCAGTGACAATATTAGGCAAGAGCCCTCCTGCCACTCCCAACAACAAAGCAAAAAAACCCTTTGCTATGACATAATGTTCCTATACTAGTGATACTCAGGAGATGCTAGAATTGGAAAGCAAGACTGGAACATTAGCATGTCTATCAGCGCATTTGAAAGCTACAGCCAACTGTGGGTAACCACTAAATCCCCATTCTATTCACAAAGCACTTAAAAACCTGTATTCAAATCACAGTGGAAGTCTTACACCAAGATGTTAGCCTAGGAAGCTGGATCCATTCAGCCATAACTGTTCCCATTCCGTCCAGTAGAGGGAAGCAGCACACAGAAATAGCGAAGCAGTACACAGAAACAACTTCGATGGAAGTGTTTTCTTAGAGGCAAGCTGAAACCAGCTATTTTCAAAGATGCAAGGAGTACAACAAGTCAACACAAGAAAGCTTTACATCCCAAGTCCTGCTCTTCATTACATACACTATTTCAATTAGAGTGGTATGTCAGAAAATCTGTATTGCCATGGAAGAGTCAAAACTCCACTACAAAATGGCAAACAATTTTTCCTGCTACAGTTTTTCCATCACCAGCTATTTGAAATCTACCTCACAGAAAGGAGCAAGAGCAGAACAAAGTTTGGGCAAGTGTTTGATATGCCTGTCTTCTCACAGCTGTCATCCAGCCACTCCCAATTCCAGCTAACAGTTTGTGATATGGTGCATAACATCCCCCCTTTCCCTTCTCCCTCAAAAGCAAGGGGGAGGCTAGGACAGGTGATTCCCTCAGATTGCCTGTGCTGCAGAAAGTGACATGTTAAGCTCATATAAACACAACAGCTGAAATGGTACATGGCTTAATTTCTCAAGGGATATGTGTGTGTTTGTTTGTGCATGAATGGGGAAAAGCTTTAGTAAAACTCAAGTTAAGTTTTGCTATAGGGAAACTGGAGCAAACTGTTTTGCTTCTGTTCAAGCAGCATCTAAGATCTTCCATCTTTTGTGAGTAAAAAGCTGCCTTGGCTCCGAAATATATTAGTCAAATGCATCATCTTCCTCAACTAGAGGGTTCCCTGTCTTTACACTGCAGTTGTCTAAATCTGTATACAATGTTCACTTGCTCGTGCAGTTCTGTAATTTCGCTGTTGAAAATTACAGGGAATGCTTATTACATGTCACTGAATGACTCCACTTAAACAACTGGGAAGTTAAGAGAGAATGAAAACCAAGACAGGGTATCAAGTTAAGTCATATGAATCTGATATACTTTAAAAACATACAGCAGGGATTTGGGGCCTCAATCAAGCAGAAGCAGCTGAAAGGAAAGTGGTAACCATATGAACAGAAGTCCAGAAGGACGTTAAACCTATTGTCAATCCTCCATTTTGGAGGATACCAGAAGCAAAAGCTCTGTAAGACACCACAGATCAGCCCTGTCACCCAGGCACTCCTGTGAAGTAACATCATCCAGTGCTAAAGGAGTCACCAGCTGTTCAAACCAAAGAGAAGCTTAGCTATTCAGTTGCCTCCTGCCACCCACCACAATGTGGTGGAAACCAGCAGTCATGAATTTAGAATGAAGAGAGACAAGAGCTATAATGTCATTTCAGAAATATGCCGCTTACATAGGACATATCAGGGGAAAGCCTTGGGTAGATACTACAGAGCCATTGATATTTGTTTCTTAGTAAACAAAATGATGAAAACAACACAGATTTAAATCTGAGAGCAAAAGAGTTAAACTTGGGTGAAAAAAGTAGACAGTGATGGACTGACCTCCATCACTACACTGTTACTCAAAACAGTTACCCTTAAATGCACACAAGAGGAAGCACAAATGCATAATCCCTACTGCTCTCAGTGGGAAAGGGAGCTAGTCACCAGAAGAGAAGTAAAAGAGTCAGCCAGCTTCAAGATGAACTAGCAGCTCCCAGGAAACTCCTTTCTGGATACAAAGACTACAACAGAAACCTCAAACTTGGCAGAGGTACAAGGGGAATTTTCCTCTTGTGGCTGATTTTACATACTCACTGTCAGAAGCACCCAACAGGCTCCTGACATCAGCTCTACCCAGCAATGGGGCCACACTCCTATAGAATTAAACTGGAAAGAGCCCAGCTGTGCAGGGTGCAACAGCAATGGGAGTTTATTTGTGCCAGCCGGGCTAACGGAGCTTGGAGAACAGCATCCAGCTTGCCTGTGCTTGCAACCACAACCAGGCATTTATTGTTAAAGCTCAAGCCTGCTCACACACCAGTCCCTAGGTCATGGCTACAAAGGTCACGCACTGCTAGATTAAGTTTCTATGCCTGTTTCTAAATAGAAGGGGGAGAAAATAATCCAAACGCACCCCCCACGCCAGGCCACCAACAAGCACCCCCTGCAAAAAATTCATACCAGCAGTATAAGCACAGTAATAAGGACAATACACGAGTATGTTTTCAATTCAGACTTCATGCACTGTGTGCCTAAAAGCAAAGCATTTTAGTTGTGCTGTTAATACAGCAAACATATTGCTCCTTCTATGCTCATTATATGACAAGTAACAAGGCTGGTCTTGAAATGTGCATGGGCAGTGGGAAGGAATAATAAAACACTAATTCTTCCATACCAGATATCATCTTAAAAACACCACAGTACTTTAAGGAGAGTCCTAACACTCCTCCTCCTCCCCCCTTATCTGAAGAGGCAGAGATGATAGTCAAAAAGATCCATCAAGCTGTAAATAATACTATTTTACCATTTTCCCAAGTGTACAAAAGATTGGTTTTAAGAAAAAAAAACAAACATGCTGCTTTTTCCAAACTACACAAACATTCTGATAGGCAGAAAGGAAAGAGACTAGAAAGCAGACACAGATTACACCTTTCAAAAGAAATTCAGAATTGTGAAAACTTCATTTAGTGAATAGATTCTTTTTTTTGTAGTAATAAAGTAAAAATTCAATTGTTTTAAAGTAAAAATACAATTTTATTTTATTTTTTGCTTTAAAGACAAGACAATTGTTTGGAAAGGTTTTTGTGGGCTTTCACTGGTTTTAATAAAAATAAAATTTGATCGTTTTGGTTGTTTGGTTGGGGTTTTTTAATAATATAAATGTTTAAGATAAAAGCTGTTGCCCTTCCAATGCCTATTCTGTTAAATGTCTATTAAGGGAAAAAAAAGACTCGTAATCAATTTTAGTAGTAGGTTTTTTTGTTGTGTGTGATTAGTTTTGTGTGCATGTTTTGCTTTGCTTTAAAGAAACTGCTTCAGCACATTAATTAGTACTTTGGACTTTCCACCCAAATTAAATGAAAAGAGGAGTCAGAAGCAAGGGGGGAATTTAGTTTTAGAGACAGTTAAAAGTGATTTATTTTAAAATAAATCAGCTATGGGCTGATTATTTCCCAAACAGGAAATATTTCCTGAATTGGTGGCATACAATTTTAGACACAAAACAATAAAGGGAGCCTACTTCAATTTAAACAGAATCAGTGAACCATATTACAGGGCTATTCATCTTTTACAGCCACAGCAGCCCAAGAAATACAACAGCAAGGCCATAAATGTGATTGCTTCAGGAAAGGCTGTACAGTGCACCGTAAAAACATTTTACAACAGCAGGAATTCCTGGGTGTCGTTCTCCCTCTTTTTTGGTCCATCTGCTTTCAAAGGGGGCAGGGGGATGGGCGGAGATGCTGTTAAACGTCCCCAGGGACTGCACAGCAATCAATCATCATCTGATGAATGGCCACTAAAGTTAAACCCTGACCCCACTCCACAATTCCCACACCACTGCTCCTCCACTTACTGCTGACCAGCTTCCAGCGTGTCCCCCCCCCCCCCCCACCTTCCAGCCCTCACACCAAAATATCCCAAATACCAAGCCCAGACAAAAGCAATGGAATGTAGCAGGCACCATGACAGGGAAGAATTCAGCAGAAACAGCATCTAAGGAGGCTTAGCCTTAACCTGTGTTTAAACAATTTTTCTCTCACTAGTACTCTGGCGTTTTCTTCCCAGCTTGCAAACACTTGATTTCTCTCATATCAGAGCGTATTTAAGAGCATGTAAGCATGCAATTGTCAAAGCATGTGGAATCTAATCATTTAAGCATTTGTTTTCCATCACATTTCAGTGTCTTGCAATGATTTTTATCTAATTTTTTTATCTGTTTTTATCTTTAGTGTTAAGAATTTGCACAAGGTCATACCACATAAGGTTATATTATTTTAAAATACGAGTCTGATGCTTTAAAAGGCACCCTGTAATCAACAATTACAAAAAGTCTACAGACAAAACAGTAGCCTCTTGGTTTCTACTTCTGGAAAAGTTTCAGTATGGCATTTGTAAGTTAATTTAGTTTATGACCAAAAATAAAAGTATCATACTTACTACATACAATCTGAAGTTTTCCATAATTAAAGGTGTTTTATTATCTCGTTCCCTTGACAATAACTCAAACAACAGTGGCTTTGTTAGGTAGTGTGTAAGGTTTA